ATAAAGAGTGAACCCTGGAGAAGGCCCCACAGGTTATTCTGAAGTGCTGTCCTTACTCACTTGGTGAGAAACACTGATGTAGAAGGTTCCAGATTATCTATTTCTCTGCTACAAACCACCCTCGAACTTAGTGGCCTAAGACAGTAATATTTTTTTTTTCTCATGAATCTGCATTTTGGCCAGGGCTGAGTGGGGATAACTCGGTGTCCGCTGATGTGGCTGGCAGCCTGGGACTGGAGTCATCTGGAAAGGAGCTTGCTTACGGGTCAGAGAGTTGACGTTGGCTGTCAGTTGGGACCCTTGCTGGGACTTTAACCAGGGCACCTACTTGTGTCTTAGGCTTCCTCACACATGGTGACTGGGTTTCAAGGATGAGTAGAGAGTGAGAATGAGCCCAAGCCACGTGGGAACAGCACTCTCCCTATTTTTTAACCTAGCCGTGGCAGCCATACTGTCACTTCTGCTGAATTCTAGTCATTAGAAGTGAGTCATGGGACTTCCCTGGTGGCACAGTGGTTAAGAATCTGCCTGCCAATTCAAGGGACATGTGTTCGATCCCTGGTCTGGGAAGATCCCACATGCTGTGGAGCAACTAAGCCTGTGCGCCACAACTAGAGTCTGCGAGCCACAACTATTGAAGCCCTCGTGCCTAGAGCCGGTGCTCTGCAACAAGAGAAGCCACTACAGTGAGAAGCCCATGCACCACAATGATGACCCAATGCAGCCAAAAAATAAATACATAAAATTAAAAAAATAAAAAAAGAAGTGAGTCACAACGGCCAGCCCATATTCACGAGGCAGGGGATGAGACTCTACCTTTGACAGGAGGAGTGAAAAGGAATTTGGAGACATGTTTTAAAACCACCACATAAGGACTTCCCTTGTGGTCCAGTGGGTAAGATCCTGCGCTCCCAATGCAGGAGCCTGGGTTCGATCCCCGGTCGGGGAACTAGATCCCAAACGCCGCAACTAAGACCCGGTGCAGCCTAAATAAATAAATAAATATTAAAAAACCACCACATACACTTAGGAGTGAAGAGCACCAAGGGCAGAACTCTGCACACAGCAGCCCAGGGGCCAGCTGCACAGTGTATGAGAAATAGAGTTTTACAACACAACATTGTAAAACAACTGTATTTCAGTTAAAAAATAAAAATAAGACTTCCCTGGCAGTCCAATGGTTAAGACCGCATGCTGCCACTGCAGGGGGAACGGGTTTGATTCCTGGCTGGGGAACTAAAGATCCCGCATGTCGCGTGAGGTGGGGCAAAAAAGAAAATAAAGGGTGGGGGGAAATAAAATGCATGTGGAGTTCAAAGAAAATCCTAAAGGAAATTAAAGTGGAAGAGCTTTAAGGAAAAAAAAAATTTTTTAACTGGTTCCAAGCACAGCCAGGCTCATCCCAGAACACTTGGATCCAGGAGCACCCCGTCAACCAGAAGACTCCCGCACAAAGGCCTGTTTTCCAGACTTCTGACCAGAAACTTCCCTTTTACACACACTCCTTGAGTAACTTCCTGATTCCTTTTTTCAGAAATTCTTGCATGGTGGAGGGGGAGGAAGCTAGGGGTCAGAATTCCTGGGTTTTGCTCCCTACCCTGCAGAAGCCTGTAAAAAAACAAAATGCAGGCTTATTTGGGAGTGAGGACATTGTAAGGAATCATTTTCCTCTTTATGTTTCAATTTTCTATACTATGATTTAAAGTTTTCATGGTGGTAAAATATATATACCATAAAATTTACCATTTTAACAATTTTTATTTTATTACCTATTTATTTTTAAAATTTTTGGCCATACTGCGCGGCTTATGGGATCTTAGTTCCCCGACCAGGAATTGAACCTGTGCCCCCTGCAGTGGAAGCACTGAGTCCTAACCACTGGACCCCCAGGGAATTCCTCCATTTTAACAATTTTTAAGTGCACAGTGCAGTAACATTAAGTGCATTCACATTGTTGTGCAACCATCACCATCCATCTCCAGAACTTTTTCATCTCCTCAAACTGAAATTATATATATATATATATTGGCGGCACCATGCGGCATGCAGGAGCGTAGTTCCCTGAACAGGGATTGAACCTGTGCCCCATGCATTGGGAGCGAGGAGCCTTAACTTCTGGGCCGCCAGGGAAGTCCTCAAACTGCAATTCTAGACCCATTAAACACCAACTCCCCATTCCCCTCCCCCCAGCTCCTGGCAACCACCATTCTGCTTTCTGTTTCTTGGAGCCTGACCACTCCAGGGACCTCATATGAGTGGAATCCTATAGTATTTGTCCTTTTGTGTCTGGCTTATTTCACTTGGCATAACGTTTTCAAGGTTCAGCCATGTTGTAGCATGTTTCAGAAGTTCCTTCCTTTTTAGGCCTGAATAATATGTATGATATAGACAATATTTTATATATAATATAAACATTTTGTTTATCCATTCATCCATCAATGGACGTTTGAGTTCGAGTTCTTTCCACCTTTTGGCTTTTGTGAATAACTCTGCTATAAACATTAGTGTGAAAATATCTGTTTGTGTCTCTGCTTTCAATTCTTTTGCACATATGTAGACATATAATTGCTGGACATATGGTAATTCTATGTTTAATTTCTTGAGGAACCAGTTAAAATTTTTTAAGCCTTTTTGTAAGTGATGAAAAACAGGTAAGAATCAAAACAGCCAGTTTGATACCTTAGGAACAACAACAAAAAATCATACCTGGTCGGTTTTGTTTTTTTTTTTTTTTTTTTTTTTTTTAGTTTATTTAATTTATTTATTTTTGGCTGCATTGGGTCTTTGTTGCTATGCACAGGCTTCCTCTAGTTGTGGCAAGCGGGGGCTTCTCTTTGTCATTGCAGTGGCTTCTCTTGTTGCAGAGCACAGTAGCTGTGGCACACGGGCTCAGTAGTTGTGGCTTGCGGGCTCTACAGCACAGGCTCAGTAGTTGTGACGTACGGGCTTCGTTGCTCCGCGGCATGTGAGATCTTCCCGGACCAGGGCTGGAACCCGTGTCCCCTGCATTGACAGGTGGATTCTTAACCACTGTGCCACCAGGGAAGCCCTGTGGTTCTGAATAATGTTTACTGTTCTAGAGCTTTAATTTTTTTTTTAAAGAAAGACTAATTACAAGAGAACATACATAACAATTTTCAGGTTTTATTTATTTGGAATTTCTTTTAAAAAGAAAACTTTTTATCGTCATGAATACATATCACGCAGAAATTACCATCTTAACCACTTGTACATATCCAGTTCAGTGGTATTAAGCTCAGGTTTTATTTTAAGGCTTATAATCTCATCAAACTCCAATCTCGGTGGGTGATGCATATTAAGGCCAGAGCCTTGGGACTCTCCTTTCCACCTACTCCTACCCCTGCCACACTTTGTACTCCTTCTGGCCCTTCCCTCCAAACCACAAGGACAGAGCAATCTGAGTCAGGCTGCCTTTGTGACCTTCTTTGGTAAGACACTAACATTTCAACATATTTTTTGTAGCCTTTCACATTAAATGGCTGTCATTTTGCAAAACAAAATCTGAATACGTAGGAAGAGTTCTGTTGTGTACACGTTGTTTGCCAGAGAAGGAATTTATATCTATGCTCCCCCCATCCTCCTATATACATGAGGTGTGTAACTTAGAACACAACACCTCCCTTATTTAGGGCTTACCTGCCATCTGTCAGTGAGTGAGTTGATTCTAGACAGTCTCTGAAAGGCTCCCAGTCCAGGAGCTGATGATTCTCTCCTCAACACTAAGCACCAGGAGAAAGGAGCCGAGATGACAAGTGTTCGTGGTCTTGGAGAGAGGCCTCAGCATATTTTTTAGCCTGGATCCTTCCCAGAGGCCTGACATTTTTGCTACCTGAGCCTCACCTCACAGATAGTTTCCAACCAAAATTGGGGCTAAATGGTCTGAGGACAAGAAGATATATGTTTGTGAAATGCATGGATAAGGTGGGCAAGCAGGAGGGTGTGTGGGGTCACATAGCAGGAGTGGGTTTGGCGGGGCCCAGTGGGCAGGGCAGGGTCACAGCAGCCACGTGCGAGCAGGTAGAGCGAGCCACCTTGGTGGTCTGGATGGGCTCTGTCTCTCTCTCTTGGCTTCCAGGTAATTGTTCTGGGGCCTGGGGCCTGACTGTGGGGTGACACTGAGTTCAACAGAACCACTGCCCATTCCGGCCCCACCTCTCACCAGGAAACGCCTCCCCACCACAGTGACCACATCCCCCCCGGTTGCCTTGGAAACACTCTGCGGGGGGGCTGGGAGATCCAGGGCACAGTTGCCCAGCAACAGGTGGTGCCCTCCCTTCCGCCCTCATCTGAGGCAGCTGCCCTGCACCCTTGGCTCGC